AGAGAAATTCTTAATGAATTAATAATTATTTCAAAGGTGAAATTTTTCCCATTATTTTTCCCATAGCTCCTTGAGAAAATGATGGTACAGTTACTGCAACTAATATATAAACAAGTTGTTCCAAAAATTCATACCAAACATTAGATTCATTCCATATTTGTAGCATATTCAACATAATCTCTTTTGCATCATTGAATTGTATGTTACCTTGCAAAACATCTAAACAAATAAAAATAAAGATTAAATTCGATTTTTTTTAATTAATAAATAACTTACTAGTAATAAGGCCAATAGCAATAGCAGGCACAGCTGCTCTAGATATGCCAGTTCTTCCTTGAGTTTTAAGTGGTATTAATAATGGATATAATTGAATTGATAATCTTTGAATTTGTTCAATTAAAGCCTTTAGAAAAAAGAAAAAATGAGAAAATAAAATTTAAAATCTAATATAAAAATATTCACTTGATTTTTAGTTTGACAATCAGTATAACGTGTTTGTATAGTAGCAAACATACCAAAAATTCTAGTCCTATTTAATTAAAATAGATTTATTTCATTTTTTCAATATATTAAACTAACATTAAATCTGTTTCTTTTGTTGGTTGTAATGCTTTTGTCATATCTTTATGAGTTTTTTCTAATTGAGCATCAGTAATACTAGAAAAATAATTTTTTTTTTTGTTTTTTGTAAATTAAATCACTTTTTATTTAATTTACTTGATTGTATTTTCATTAATTTTATTTTCTGATAAAACAATTTCTTCAATTTGTAAAATAAAAGCTATTTCACTATCGTCTTCAAATTGTGGTAGACACTTTTGATTTTCCTTTTTTTTAAAATGAAAACATCACTTATAGAAATAATTATTCAAATACATATTTACAGGAATTGACGTTTCTATTTGTTGTGTATTATCCATTATAAAATTTTCTGCTGAAACCGACCAACATAATTTTGATGATCTTACTGCATTCGGACTAGATGAACCTGATGCTAGACTTAAAATAAAAAATACCAAGAAAAACAAATACAAGTAAAAGAATATGGAAATTTAAACTAACTTATATTCTTCAGTTAAAATTCGAGCAATTTCAGCATCATTTTCTGTTGTATCTAATGACATTTTATAATTTGTAAATATAATAATTTAATACTATTTAACCACCTTGGTCGAATGTTTTTGAATCTTATCAATGTTGGAAATTTTTTTTCTTCTATTCAACAGTTTGTCAGTACATCGTATATTTATATTTTGTTTTTCTTTTCTTTCTTATTGTATACGTAATGAAAAACTTCTACAATCTTGACTTTTCTTGAAATTCTTATTACTATAGAAAATTATTTATTTACAAATTTCTACATATTTTTTCAAATAGAACTAAAACTATTATCCATTCTTTATTCTACTGATTCAGTCCTAATTGAAAATTGTACATGTCGTTGAAATTTTCAGTCAATGTATGCCATCTGTCGATTTAGACAATCGAAATCTTTCTTTTTTTTTTTGCTTCTCCTCTTTGTAATACAAACCACAGCACATATAAATACAAACAAACGAATATAATCACAGGGTTAAAACAAAAAAAAAAACAAAAAATCGAAAATTAACAATAATTCTTATTTAAATTGGTAGTTTTTCTTCAATAAATTTCAAATGATTATTTGAATCTTCACTATTATTATCAATTCTTGTCATTAACATTGGTTGAAGTTCAAAAAAACGATTATCATTTGGTTGATAATATGTTCGATGATAACATGAACATTGATGTTGACATGTTGGATTAGTAGATAACGGTAAATAATATGGTCGGATAAGATTTGGTCGAGGACATAATGATGATGAACTTGATGAAGATGATGATGTAGGATGATAATTTGAACATTGACGACAATAGATAAGACAATAGTAATGTAATGATTCAGATAATGAATAATCAGATTTTATTTGTTCATATTCATGATGTACATCAGATGTTAAAAGAGGTTCAATGACACCATTTGTACATGGATATTCATTTGGTGGTGTACTAGATGCTTGATCACTACTGCAACTATCGCTTAATAATGGAGTAAATTTCTAAAATGGAAATAGAAATTATTTAAATGAAAATTTAAAAAAAAAAGAACAAATTGTTGGATCTGTTTTTCTTTTATCGTTTATCTTGCCATTGGCAATATTAATTCAAAAGTTGGTCAGCTGTTCAAATTGTTTGAACGTCTGTCCGTCTATCCGATTACCCTTGCATGATAGATTTATAAAGATTCACACCCCTTTTGTATGATAAGAAAGCATTACATATGCTTTTTTTCTCTGCTAGTTCATTCTATGTCATGAGAAGACGTACTGTTCGATTTTGATGATGATGGTGATGACGATGATGATTATTATTATTATTATTATGTTGATGATGTCTATTGAATTTGACGGACAAAGAAGCAGCCTTCATTGTATCATCAAATCTTGATTTGTGTCTTTGTCGTCGTTTTCTACACACAAAATAAAAAATAAAAACAAAAACATATTTTCGACAAATGTTCAATACATAATAATATTCTTGTTCTCATCATTTATCGATAACAAGGATGTTATCATATGTATATATCTCATGTGTTTATTCAGTACGTATGTTCATACACGCGTATAGGACAAATTGGATCAATATTTTGCCATTGTCTATTTTTTATTAGAATAAACAATGTGTACGTGCTATGCAGAAAAATAAATCATGACTTTCAATATCCTGCTGAGAAAGACAAATGAGTGCGTGTGTGCCTATATATATATTTATGATTATTTCACAATAGAGATGAGTGTCATTTGTTCATTATGGAAATTAAATCACGTATTCAACACCTGAGAGACTTTATAATGAATGATTTGAGAATAAGAAAAATTTTACTTACTTGATCAAGACAATAGTACTAAATGTGATAAGAAAAGCAATTATAATTCCCAAAACAATTGATATAGAAGATGATGAAGTGCTTTTCTTATTATCAATTGATGATGGTGATAATGAAGGTAATGAACAACGAGCTTCAATTGATAATATATTTGGTGGTGGACTGATAGTAAACATTGGAGGTGGAGGAGGTAATTGTGAACAACGTTGACACGCGTAGCCACTGGCCATCTGTATAGAATCACTTGCATCGATCTACTAAAGACATTGAGAAGAGTGATGATGATGATGAAGCAGCAAGAATAGTAGAAAATTGCTTGTTCTCTTTCTTTCTGGTTCAGACGCAACTATTGACTATTGAAAGTTCATTTTCTTGAAGAACAGACACAACATACTCTCTCTCTCTCTCTCTCTCTCCAATTTTTTTCTTTTAGACTTTACAATAACACCGAGAAGTATATCATTTTGATCGAGTTTAATTGCAAGTTGGTGCGAAGTAAACGCACGCCATGATTATTGTATACACTAGTCTTTGTATATACATATGTATATATATATGTGTCATGTAATCTTTCAAACTTGTATATAACTTATGTCATCGATTTTATATACATTCATAGGTAGTCCGAGAACACGTAGAGAAATTGTAGGGTAGATTAGTGCGTCAGCCTGATTGATGAGTATTTTTTTTTATTTCATTTCTTTCTTTTCTTTTTTTTAAATAACAATAACAACAATAGTAATCATCACGGCAAAGATCAAAGGAAATAAAACTTACCCATACAAATGGAAGGCATCAGATCGTGAGACAACAATTAATTCAGGAATTTCGTGAGATTTTTCTTGCATCAACTCGTATAATATGCAAGAAGAGGACACAATATGTTCGATTATCTTGTGCTAAGGGGTCAATCAGACTAGATTGTAGATTGATTGGAGAGGAGGAGGAGAAAAAGAAAAAAAAAGTGGACATTCTCGATATGTAAGAGCATAGAGAGAAAAAAAAAAGAAGACATATAATCGATGTGGAATGTCTCGACATTCATAATCTTGTCAACATAATAAGGAAAGTAAGCTGTTGCATTGACTAGTAGACCGTTTCGTGTGAAAATATACATGTCATTTATATACGTATATCTTTTAATTTTCTAATCATTTGACATGAGATAATCAGATTAGTAATGATGGAATATAAACTACAAAGTCAACTATTTGAATAGTCCTTTTTTTGGGTCAGTTTATGCGTGTATGGTTGATCTATACCGGAAACAGACTTTGACCTAAAAGCTGCCATGTACAATCATTGTACAGATGCAGACAATTTTGATCCTAATTGTCGCGTGCCCGGATATCTGTCTGTATTCTTCTCGTTGAACTTTTTCTTTTAATCTCTCTTGTTTCTCTTCGTTCTTTTTCTTTTGTTTTTGATGATGATGTCGGCAATATTGTGCTGGTGTATACTGACAAATTCAAGATGACTCGATATCATGTTCTTGTATATTCAGCAAAACAAACAAATAGGAAAATGTCATGATCATCACAAGCATTCATGAAGCAGACAGGAACAATTAAAATAGACGACGCTAATTGAACATTTATCATGATTAACGAGCAATGGAAAGAAAAGAAGAAGAAGCCTTCACGAAGAATATAGGATAGGTACCTTCTTGAGAAAAATGCTAGTAATGGCACACACACATATATATACAAGACTAAGAAGAGCAGACACAAGTGTTTGCCCCCTGGCGAGTGGAATGAAGAGAAAATATGATTAAACATTTTTTATAGTATGACAACAGTCGTTCTAATCAACAAGACAACTAATTCTATCGAATGGATGACCAAGTAATAAAGTCTATTTTGATGACAGCAGGTGTCATTTACTCGAAAATTACGTCAAAAAAACTTACCAATCATAGAATTATTATTATTTATATTTAAATAAATAAATTTGAGAGAACGAACTAGCTTGGTTTAATTTTCTATGCACATACACAGATGAATGTTGATTGAATGTTCACACCCTGGAAATACTTATTCGAATGATAAACGATGTTCGCTTGTTATAAACGAACCAGAGAGGAAGAAAAAAACGAGCATAATGGATCGTATCTCTTATCAGAAAGAGAGCACGAGAGAAAAAAAGTCTGAACTCTTTTTTTTTTATTACTGTACATCCATTGACGATAGAAGGCGTATGCTATAGTATAAATTCTTTTATGACCATATAGTTCATATATATATATGAGTGCTTTTTGAACTTTTATATTTCTAAATGTATATTGTAATATACACAGAAGCTGAACAAATGTCATCGTGTTTTTATTTCTCATTGGATCAAACAAACAATTGCTATGTTAAATGAGAACTATATATTTTTTTTTTGTTGTTTATGATGAATTTAATATTGGACAAAATTTGTAACTATAGAGAAAAAGAAAAGATGTAGTATAAATTTATTTGATAGTTAGTCTTCTATTGTATATTATGAATAATTACTTAACGAAAACATCATTAATCAATAGATCTAATAGTTAAATTCATGTTATCACTCAATCAGAATGATATAGAAATTTCTTTTAATGAAATTGTATTGTTCTTGAACTTAAAGAATTATGCTTGATCAATTTATTTTAACTGTATGAAACAAATAATGATTTATTTGTACTGATTTCAGCTGAGCAAATTATTCATACTAACTTGAATAATGATGTCGTTTCTATTTGTTCATTGCACTTAACTTTGATAATGCCTCATTTCTGCTATTCATTGTTCATGTTTAACTCAAGTGTTACCTTCAAATGAAAGTCTTGAAAGATGAAACCTTTCGTTTAATCTGTTTATCAATGCCATATGTGTATATATTTTATTTTTTTTATTTGTTCTACTCTTTTTTTTTTATCACATCAAACTGCAGCGGCTTAGCATTATATGATGTCATAAGGTATAATATATACCAAGTTTACGATTAACTGATCCATGATATGCAGTTTGTTGACATTGATTACCATTAGACTTACACAATGTATATAGACTATGAATAAAAACTTTCGTAATCAGAACAAGAAGATGCAAATGACTATACATGTTTATTGAATTCATATAATAATATACTGTTGATATATGACTAAAAGTATATCAATAGAATCTATATTGAATAATAAAAAGTATTCATTATTTTTATTTTAAATTGAAGAAAAAACAAATTCATTTTCTTCTTTCACTGAACATATTTTTAAAAAGGTCGAAATGGAATGAAATAAAAAGACCAATATTGCTAGTACTAGCGGTAACAAATAGAAACTATTCATAATCGTTTCTATTTATATGTTTGAAGCTCACTTGATTGTGTAAAACTATTACTTGATTAAAAATCAACATATACAAGTGGTTCTTAATTATACAAATTGAAATGAATATCAAGCACATCAACTCTTAGAATAACATCAATAAATAGGCTCTCTTGCAAATCTAAACAATCAGTCATATTATATTCATGTAAAAAACATAGATTCATTTGGATCGATTTTTGCAATAACAATACGAAAACATCTGCTTACTATGAAACTCATTAAAACTTTAGATACTACGTTATTTTGACAATACTTGTCTGATATAACGCAGTACATATGCATTCAACTATGAGTAACTTTGTTGCACTTACACACTAATCTCTTGTACGAGTGTGACTTTTGCAACCGGATCTGTATCCGAATAGCTGTACTCGGTACACGGATGAAGCTAATCGACATGTAGTAGATACTGTCACAGTCATCATACGGTTTTCAAACTTTTATTTTATATGAAAAAGTATGCTATTTAGTTTCTTCCATGAATAGCAACAAAAAAAAAGCAAGTGAATCAGGATTCACTTGATGTCCTTCTACTTTGAGAATCCGATCAATTTCTCTAAGCATATGTTTGCTTATTGCTGATGACATTAAAATAGGCCGCAACATTGGTGTCAAACGTCACAATTGTGGATAGATACAAGATTGCTTTTTCCATCACAATAACATATGTTCACCTTTTTGATAACTCATTTTATTCTCCATGTATTTAGTTACTTCGTCATATGGTTCATCATTATCTGCAAATGAGTTTTCATTAAAAATGGATTCTTTTAGTAGAACAATATCGTTTTCCACTTCTGTGATCTGTTCTCAAGTACAATAAGTTGCTCAATCATGATCGAACAGATTTTCACTCCTATTCTTTTCTATAAATTAGCAGTTTGAAAAGGAAAAAAATATTTTGAAACCTCGAGATCTCATGAATGATTGGATCGGGCTCTGGTACGAGATCATGCCCGGCATCCAGCTGGGTTGCAGAACTCTATTATACACTTATATTCATCATCGCTTAAATTAGTTGTCGCATAACGATAGCTATAAAAGCTGTACTAGTCGTTACTTGTTCATATGTCAACATATTCATTCGACTTATTTTTCTCTTATTTTTGAAAATATTACGAGCTAAGATTGAGAAAATAAACTATTGTTGTCATTATTAAACTTCTTCACATCATAAAGAAAATAAGTTGTCTTTCATCCACTTACATATTTTTTTTTTATTGTTGTTGTTCTTTGTTGTTACTGATTCTTTTGTTTTTAACTGACTTAATGTTCCGTATAAGCACATACACACGCACAAATATTAAGAAAGACAAAAAAAGAATAACAATAGATCACCAGGCAAAAAAAAGAAAGCAACATGTATGAGAATGATATTGCCAATCTTATACATTAACCATTTCCCACAAACCATAAGTTATGCCAACTGTATTTTGCCATAAACGTAATGTTCCATCTTCACTACCTGATGCATAAATTTGACCATCAGGTGAATATGACATACAATGTATTGGACCAAAATGACCTTTGTATGACTCTATAAAAATAAAAATAGATTTTTTTCGAAGAAAGTTTGTTTGTATTAATATTTACCAAGTTCAATACCCGTTTCAAAATTATATTTATAAATACGAAAATCTAATCCACCACAAACAAATTCACGTGCAGTTGGATGAAATGAAGCTGTATTCATTTCACATGGCATTTCAAATGATTGTAATTTATTTAAACTATGAAATTAAATCGATTAAAAGAAGATTGATAAACTAAAATTAACATACTTATTGCCATCATAGATTTCTACTTTTTTGCCATGTGTAATAAGCAATGAAGCTTGACCATCACGTGAAATTTCAATACTATTTGGTGGTGAAGGAAAATCAATAGTTGATATGCAATTTCCTGAGTCAATATCAAAGATTCTTTGAAAAAACGACACACATTGATTTGATTTATGTCAATTTTAATCTTACTTTATGGTTTTATCATCGGATGCTGTACAAATTCGTTTTGCATCCATAAAAATTGCTTTTTTAACTGCACCTGTATGACCATTGAAAACTTTCACTGGTTCTTCAAAAAAAACAAATAATCAACTTTAAAATATTATTTTTCTTTATTAAGAAATAAATAAACCAACCTGTTGGTGCAGTCACATCATAAATTTTAATTAATTTTTCATTTGATCCCGTTAACAACCATTCTTTATTTATCGATGAAAAATCAACAGAACGTACAATATGTTTATGTTCGAATGTTTGTAATTCAGCACCCGTACTTGCATCCCATAATTTTGCAGTAAAATCAGAGCCAGCTGTTGCAGCTAATTCAGCATTTCCTGTTATAGTTGCTCCCCATACAGCTCCTTTATGACCAATAAAACTTCCAATCCTATAAAACATACAATAAATATTTATCCATTATATAAAGCAAAAAAAAAAGTTCTTACCAATCGCCTGTATCACCTTCGCGTAGCATTGGTATACCATCTAGAAATTGTTTGAAAGAAAAAAATTGAAAAATAATTTGTTAGTGAAGCCCCTTTGAAATTGAAATATGGAACTCACATACATTTTCCTACATTAAAACATTGCCTCACTATTATTAGTGTACATATTAATACTTTAATTCTACACTGTTCCCTTTGTTTGCTTCTCTCTTTGATCGTAAAATTTCATCAATGTTGTTCGCTATGCAAATCTCTGATTTTTACCTGTGTAACTACGAGTGATAGCAATACTAAAATGATTGATTTACAGGTGTGATTACTATAGAAACTTAATCAATGACCTTCAACTCCGGTTACTAGTTGAGGTCGAAGAGAACAGCGCCGTAAACGATATAAAACGATGAACATAGTAGGAGCAACGATAACTGCTTGCTAGCGAAAGAAAATTAATGTAGTAATGCGCCGTTTTATAACCGTTTCAGGCCATTTAAGATGCTGTTTTCAACGGTTGAAATCATCGTTGTGACAAGATCTGCAATGGGGCAGGGAGAGAAAGTTGCAAAACTTCGATTTCAAACTGACACTCACTATTCTCTTCGAAAATGTATGTGAATTCTACAAAATTTTATATCCAAATATATTAAAATTTACCTTTGCAAGCGCTTATGAGAAAGTAGCTGTATTTTGTTATATCACTAAAACGAAGATCAACGACTAAAAGAAAAACAGAAGAAAAATAATTCGTTTCAAGAATTGTCATTCATGTTTTAATTAACCTGGTCTAGTGTGACCGTTGCATGTAATGGGTACTTGACGAACAGTTGTTGTTGACATAGTTTAAATAAAAACACTGGAAAGATTAAAATAATATATAATGGCTTTTATTGTTGTTTCTTGTTTTGTTTTGGTGCTGAGAAAATAAATAAGATAATAAATATGTACAATGGATTGAAGCGACAAGAAAAAAAAGATAAATCAACGTTTTGAAGTAACTAGAAATATAAACTTGTATTTTTACTCTAAAAAAACAAAAGTCGAAAAAAAAAAGAAAAATAATTACCTATTGTTAATAATTTTTTATCATCTAGAAAAACAATGTTATTTTGTTATTTAGTTTTTTTGAAATCGTCAATCAATGTTTATTTTAATTTTATTTACATTGATCATCATATAAATAGTTTAAGAATTGAAACAAAAAATAAATAAACATACACCTTTAAACTAAATGGCACCTGTCTGTTTGTTATACACAAAACAAACTACAGAAAAAAAATGCATGCACCCAAGAACGTCTTTTTTTTTGTGTTTGATTTACTATTACATATAACAAACCAAAAACTAAAAATAATTATATAAATTCGATTTTGTCCTATGGTAAGAATGAATATTATGGAATAAAAAATAGTGGTATTTCTGTCAAAAAAAAAGAACAAAAAAGAAAAGAAAAATGAAAAACATGAGGTGCATAGTGTTATCATGAGCATGAATAATAATATATACATATATGCTTTAATTTTTTCCATTATAGACTTTGAGAGCTTTTTTGAGCAATGGTGGTATTATTGGTTCTAAAAGATAGAAAAGAAAAAAGAAAACTTACTTCTTTATTTTGGTATTATCCCATTCCGTCAACACATCCTTAATGATCCTGTTCCGCTGACAAATATTCTTTTCCATTTTGTCGACAGCTGTTTCTTCCTTTGACAGACTGAAGTTTAATGATGAAGCGTTTCATCAACAAGTTAAGACTCGATTAATTTAAAGCACACAATAAGTAATTAGTTTGCTTTTTTTGGAGCGTGATAGAGCACTGAAGAAGTAAATCGATACTAGTGTTTTATGGAGGATGATCCAAACGAATAAGGGTGCGGATACAGGGACATAACCAGGAGAGAGATGCAAGCGGTGCCTGTGCATCCATCTGACCAAAAAAAAAATATCAGAAGGGAGATAAGAATAAAAAACGTTTTCGCAAAACAAAAGAATTATTCTCCTATTGATGTGGATCCGGCTTAGAAAAATTCTGGTTATGAACCTGGTCAGAGGACAACCGGTCGATAATTTTTCAACTGGTTGGGTCCGACCATTTTGTTGGATCATTGTAAACCAGTTAATGGGAATGGCTTTAAAAAGCATTCATGTTCATTTTGATATTCAGGTTGTCTGCAAATCTTCGAGAAGCAATAGCATTTTCTAGTTGTTTATATCTGTGAGGTTTTTCCAAGATGAATATGTGATAGTCCTATATATAATGCGAAAAAAAAGAGCCATTTACTCATCAATTAAGAGCTAAACTCCAAATCTTGAATTTTCTCATTCAGCCTTTTCAGACAAATCTAACATTTTTCTACGAACGACGATCCAAACTTAAATTTGATCTTTACTAAAACATATGAGAAATAAGTTTAGCTCAAGTAACTTAGTTTTGGTTGTGATTTTTACAAAAATGAAATATATTTTGATAAAGAAAAAATAACACAATGTAGACAAGCAGAAGAAAATAAAACTAATAGTCTTTGAAACAACACTGCTTAATTATTTTCATAAGAGCAAACAAACTTCCTCTCAACAAGTTTTATCAGAGAAAAGTAGCATATCTATAAAAATTTTTCCAACTGATAAAAATCGGTTCAGTTATAACTTTGGTAAGGGTGTGGGGTTAAGAGGAGACTAACGCTCAAACCCATCTTTTTAGATTAAGTTTTAATAAGCAAGTATTGATTCTTGGTATTTTCTATTACTTGCGTCTTAGCTTGTCGACTAAATGCTTAATTATTGAAAGGTGATCTGTCAAGCGAAAAAAAAGTTGTTGACAAAATGAAAAAAAAAAATTTGTCGATGAAATGATGCTGAATCTTTTGTTCTTTTTTTCGATAATTTCAGTATTACTTTTAACTTTTGCTTGTCCTCGATTATGCTTTGATGGTGGAAGATTAACAACTTGTCGAGCAACTTTATTTGAAGTGATATTATGACGGCTAGTAGTTTGACGTATATTAAGTGGTTTTGTATGACGAGCTATAAGAAGAAAAAAAATTGAATTAGAAATTTATAACAGTATAAAATTTACCTGTATCAACTGTTTCTGCCTTTTTTCTTTTTGCAAGTTCAGTTATTTGATGTAATCGTTGTTCTTTTTCATTATATTTACGCTATAATATTAACAAATATTTGATTAAAATGAAGAATTATTTTATTTTATTTTTTTACCCAATAAAGTTCATAATAACTTTCACATTCTTCTCTTTCAGCATCTTTAAAATATAATGAACAAAATTTTTGCCATAATGGTTCAACATCATCATAATAATCCTTCAAATAAAATGAAAAAAGATTCTATAAAAATATAAAAATTATTCATACTGGATTATTATCAATTATAACATTAAGTTGTTCAGGTGTTGCTACATCAATAATTGGTTTAACTACATCATAAGGAAGTCGAAAAAAATGTGTATAACATATATCTATACAGAAGATAAACACATTTAATTGTTTAAAAGTTTAGAAAGTCTTTTACCATCAACATGATCTTTAAGTGTTTCAACGCAAAGATCTTGAAGTGATGGAATATTTGTACGAGCAGCGCGTACACCAGAATAAATAGCTTGACGTCCTCGTTTTGGACGAAGAAAATTAAAATTGTCAGCTAAATATTAAAAAATACGATAAAAATTTTTTTTTTGAATAATTTAAATATGAGAGGAAGGTCAAAAGTTTCTAGAAAAAATATTTGACCATTTTTCGTGTATTTATATCCATCGAAAAAGAGTGAGACATAGTGTATTAGAATTAGAATTTTTTGCTCTTTGAGAATATATACTTAAAATTTTTCTGTGACTTTTGACTATTCAGCTATAAGCAAATCTTGGCAGCACTCAACATTTTTTTTTCACTGAAAACTTCAAATGAAACTTGTTTGAGACGTATCACAAAATTTTATCAAGTATATTGAAAGATATACTACAAAACGGTATGTTTGAATAAAATTTTTTGCAAACTGTTGACATGCAGTAAAGACTTTTTTAAAGTCTATTACAAGAAAAATGGTTATTTTTTCAATGTTTGCTTTTCCAGTAAAAATTTGCCCTCGATCAGAACTCAGCCACTTTTTTTTTAACGGATTAACTACAACTCTTCATTCTTGTGTCATTTTGTAGAGAAGAGATCACTCTCAAGTACTATATATTTACAAAACTAATTTTATATAGACTTATCTTCAGAAAAATAAGATTTTTCCCTTTTCAGATCCTTTTTTTTTTAGTCTTGTCAAGATTTATTTATAGCTCAATGGTCAAAGGTCACAGAAAAATTCTAAACATACATTCTGAAAGAAGAGAACAAAGTTCTCATTCTAATATATTATCTCTCACTCACTTTCAATGTATTTAAATACTCAAAAAAATAGTCAAATATTTTGTCTAGAAACTTTCGTCTCACTCTTTAATTATACCAGGTTTTTTTGGAATAGAAATTGATTTTGATTTTGATAAATTAGATGATGGTTTTGAATGTTCTAAAGAAGCAATACTCGATGCAATCGCTGCAGTCATTGAATTATTGTCTATTTTTGCTGTTGAAGTAGCTGATGGTACTTTTACCTAAAATATAAATTATCGAATATCTCTTGTTTATAAAAATTACAAAAGTCAACTTGTATAACCATTCAATGGCATATAAATAAAACAAAAAATATAAATATAATTCATATTATTTAGCATTACCTGTTGAATATTAAGATTATTATTCTTCATTGTTTGTTTGCTTTTAATAGGTTGAGACTTTTTAGTAATTTCTTCTTTATGATAAGCATTGTCATCATCATCTTTATCATCATCATCATCATCATCATCATCATCGTCTTCTTCTGCCCAAATGTCATTATATTTTGTTTTGGGTTGCTCAATTGTTGTTTTTTTTAAATTCTGATTATTAGCAATGAAATCATTTCGATTGTTGTTTATTTTATCATTTTGTTTTAATTTCTTATTAACATTATTAGCAAGATCCGGCGCACTAGCAGCCAATTCTTCATATTTAGCATCAAATTGAGCATAGATTTCTTTGATTTGATTATCAGTTAATTTATTTTGAGTTGAATCAACCGTAGATAATGAAGATGGTATTGGTTTTTTACTCACAACATATTCAGCCAGAGAAAGAACTTTACGTTTTTTAACCGATGATGTTGATGATGATTGATCTCGATCACTATGTTTAAATTCATCAGATGATTGAGATTCACTAGAAAAATTAAAGAAGAAATAAATTTTACTTCAATTAATTTCTTCTATTTCTAACCTTAATGCATTCGAATGTATTGCGTCATAATCATTAGATTTTCGTTTAACAGAAAGTTTATGTTCAGCGACTGATTTTTTCGTATTTGTTATTGTTTTAATTTTGGATGTATTCGTTGTTTTTGATAATAGATTTTTATCTTGCCATTTTTTTAGAAGACTCTTAGCTGTTAAGCAATAACTTGCTTCTTTATTCGATGCAAGTTGATTAACGAGTACGTCTATTTTCGTTTCCTAACAAAGAAAAATAAGAAAATAATTGTTTTAAAATTTAATTTGATTATTACTCGAAGTAACATAGGAGTAATCGATGTATTATGCAATTTATGAAGATATTCTTCAACCTAAAAATTAAAATTAATTAACAAAATGAAACAAAAGATAAATTTACTTTATCATTTTGTTTCGAAGCATTATATTTTTCAAGTTTCTTTTTAACTGTTTCAATTGTACTGATAGCTATTTCACTGCTCATTGTTAATATGTAATCTAAGAAAGTATTAGAAATAAAAAACAAAAAAGAAATGACATGCAATCAATAAATATATCAATATGTATGTATTTATTTGCTTTGAGTAATGTTTAATAAAGAAATTTTCCTGTGGAAAAAATTAAAGAAACTTTCCATAGATCTTAATTTGGTCATTTCCGTTTATCTTCTAGTTAAAACAAATAAATAAGTAAATAGAACGAGGGAGGTACAATAAGCAGCGGTAGAAACATAAAATAAGATTAGTTGATGATCGAACAAATCATCAGACAGAATACGAATACATCTAATCATGATGTCGTTACTTGTTCATATATGTCAGTAAGAAATATTAGCAAATATGTAAAAAATATTTGCATAACTTGATTAAAATATGAAACAATCAGATAAAATACCATCATTGAAATGTTGAGAAACTCATGACTAAAATGCCTGATTTTGTTAATTGATTTTTCTATGCTTTTTATCATTGGTGTTTCTTTTCTTTTAATATTTTTATAATATTTCAAACATAATGATAGTATCCATTTGAACATGAGACTAGTCTGATAACAATAGGATATAAAGCATAGGTTCTACTGTTATATCTAACTATGATTTTATCTTTCTTTAGATCATAATTAATGCTACTTTCGAGTTGAGTTAAGATAGTAATATTTAAAAGTTAACAAAATAAAAATTTCTAAACGATGGAGAAACTATCTGCAAACCTATGAAAGTTCTTTAAGAAACCTGAAACTGACTTTCAGTTGTCTGATTTATCATTACCAAAATAGTGCGTTCTGTAAAATAATTTTTTTATATCTAGAAATGTATTCATTCTGATCACTTTATACACGCAGACATGGGTACCAAATATATCATGAATAATAGTAGATTCCTTTGATTTTCAAAGTCGTTGAATTGAAAGAGAACTAATGAGGAATTTATATCCTTCAGTCCTTGAATAATTGGTAGAAGAAGATATGAAATTTTTAGTCGAAATGTTGTTCATATATACATTGGATGCTGATCCGTCTAACAAATGTAGGTAACAAGTATTTTTTGCACCGTATTCATATAACGTTTCATATTATATATGAAATATTCAAGAGAAAAATATATATTTATACAGTGTCTTAAAAATCATTTACCAAAAAAATAAGTTACATAATGTCTATCGTGTTTCAACCTATTCAGGTAATACTTTTTCTAATGATAGACGAAATGTCCAAGTTTTTATTCTTATGATGAAAATTGACAAATAGTGTTCAAAGTTATCATTCTTGACTGCAATACAAAAACTAACTTGTTTTCTAATCTATAGGAAGATTTTATGAGGACTGTTTGTAAATTCTTAGATGCTTGCGTAGGATTCAACAAGCAAAAATCGAATTTTTGTAGATTATGATAGAAAATAATCCGAAAACAACCAGAAACTCTGAAAGAATATTAAGAAAAAGACTCTATGAAGATTCGAAAAAAATCTATTAGGCTTCAGAAACCTGTAGAGGCCCAATTCCATTGTTTCCTTTAATACGACCGCACATTTTCAATAAAATTTTACTATAGAATTCTGACTTGCAATTTAATCCACACAAAGCTCAAACTGAGACTAGTGTGTGTAGAAAATTTCAGAATCTTTGGACGTTGTCTCTTCTAGATATAAAGTGTTATAAAGTTAGTCAACATGTATGATTTTAAATATTGTTTATCGATTTCTCTCATTAGAATAAAAATTTAGATCTGTCGTTTATTATCAGAAAAAAAAATTAGCTGATTGAGTTAAAGCGGAAAGGAAATATTTATATTTTTTTGTGACCAGTAACTTTTGAAACATTCAGTGAATGATACAAGAAAACAAGACAATATGGTTGTTCTGTGTCACGAGCTCATCAGCAAAAAAAAAGAGCAAACGAAACCAAGTAAATGTCGACTGCCTACATATAAAAACGAAAACATGCCAAAGAGACAATCTTGACATGCCAACATAATTGAAATTTTTTGCTTTTCTTCTCTTTATTATCGACCTTAGACTCTTAGTTTAACCCTTTGGAGACGATTGGCCCCTTCAGGGACCATGGTGATTCTCTAGCATTTTAAAACACACAGATTCCTGTATGAGATTAGTTTTTATGAAAGCATTTATCAGAGAGTTTTTTGGTATAATTTGGATTGTAATTAGGTTATTTTATTCAGATATTCAGTAATGGATAATAGGTTCTTTTAGAAAATAAAACTGTTGATTGATTTATGATGAAATGTACAGAAAAAAAATTCGTCCCCAAAGGGTTAATATTCATGCGTAAAAACAAATGTAAAATAAGATTTCAAAAAAAGAAAAACGATGATTGCTATCAAAACGAAAACATTCTCAAAGAGGTAACATAAAAGATAATAGCTATCTTGTATAGAATAAAAGAGACGAACATGTTTCTGAGTCTAGTAACACCAACGTTTTAAGCGCAGTTCAACTAAAAAAAAAGTAATAAATTAATAGTAGCGAAAATCAGTTTGAAAAGAACTCAATATTCTTTTAGTTTCAATCTTTATATATTGTCCCATCGACGAAAAACAAGCATCATAGCATTTTCGTTTGTCTACAAGAATATCAATTATCACCATGGGCATCAGTTTTATGAATCTAAAACTTGATTATATGCTGCTCGATGCTTTACAATACCCATCACATGCACGTATGTTGCAAATTTAAAGATCCATGTCTGAAAACGTTCTATTGGTCTTATAATTTATTTTGGTTATTATGCTATATCTGATCTAGCAAAATTCCAAGATTTAAGAAAACGATGTGAATGACCCAAAAAAAGCAAGAGCAGTTTTATTTCGATGATTTTATTTCTTTTATATACATCTATATATGTCTTTTTTTATCCCTTAGTCAATTGTTCTTTTCAATATTTTTAAATAAACTAGATGATATATAATCTATACGAAAAATGACATCTATTAAATCCAAAGGATTTCCAATACTATTGATGATTATTGTTTTTTTAGTTGAACCGACCTCAGGACATAATTTCCTCAAATAGGAACAAAACAGTAAAGAAAGATAACGCATAAGGCATGTGTTCTCTTGCGCAACGCTTTTTGTTGTATATACGCAAGGTGCAATCACCTATGTAAAATACATCAGACCATATAGAAGTGATAATAAGATTTTTTTTCTAGTTTTGTTTTTTCTTTCATGTTTACATTAAAAAACAAGCTTCGGCATTAGCTTTTAAATCAAATAAACCATTGAACTGCTATCATAGAAACAATAGCTAGACATTTGTTTTATTATTCAAATAAAATTTTAATCAATATTTTCTCTTAAAAAGACTTGTAGTTCTATCATCATTTGACGTAGCTATGTGTCTCTCGTCAAATAGTAAGCCATTTTTTCTTGTTCATATGTTACATATTTCTATTCTTTTATTTTCTTTTTTCCGCGTTTACTTCGTTCGAAATATATCACATTTGTATTTGTTTTGTTGACTGGATTTCACATCCAACTAATAGGAAAATAATAATTTCTTTTGGAATAAACACTTATTCATAGAAAAAAAAGTGTTTTCATATGTCTCATAAGTTGAATTGGAAAAACAAGAGTTTCTTTTTGTGATCTGATGATATTGATATTAAAGGATCTTGCTTTATTCATTTTCAAATATAGAATTTTGTTTCATACTAGATTTTTTTAAACAATAAAATAATCATGTCATTAATCGTAGCTGGCACCGAAATGGGTGGTACAGGATGTAAAGTAGCTATCAGTGGTGAAAATGGACAATATGATAGTCAATATTCATTACAAATTCTGACAACAACTTCTGAAAATACTTTAAATGCAATGTATAATTGGTTAGGATCGAAAAAATTAGAGCGACCATTTGTTGCACTTGGTATTGCCTGTTTCAGATCTATTGATCTAGATAAAACAAGTAAAACCTATGGATTTATTACAACAACTTCAAAACCTAATTGACAGAATGTAAATGTTGTTGGTCATTTTCAAGATCTCAATGAACCAATTGCTTTTGAAACTGATGTTAATGCACCAACAGTGATAGAAGTTGCACTTCAAGGTGATGCATCACTAGCATATATTACTATTGGAACAAGTTTGATCATTCAAATTCTTTTCATTTTCAAATGTTGTTGTTTAATTGGTTTTTTGCAAATAGGTGTAAGTATTAATCTCATTATTGAAACTCGTTCCGTTCATGGCCTAATTCATTCAAAAGGTGCGCATATTCAATGTCAAGGCTTATCTATTGAATAGTATGATGGTAATTGTCTATATCATGAATTATGTATTAATGGTATGTCAAATGCGAAATCTGTTGCTGATCGTCTTGGTATTTTACCAAATGAGCTCAATACAGTTCTTGCCGATCCTCCTGTATAGAATGGACAAGCACGTTCTATAGCTCAATTATGTGTATCAATAATTATTTAACATCCGTTCAACATATTGTTATTGGTGGTGGATTATCAAAACGTAATTGTTTATTTATACATATACGAAAACATGTTCAAGACATGAAATGGTCTTTTGAATCTACCTGCAATTACAAAAAATATTGATGATTATATTGTTCCATCAAGTCTTGGTGATTTAACTGGTATTCAATTAGCTCTTGATATAGCGCAATCTGTAGTAGTAAAAACATAATTCTTTTTTTTGTGTAAGCTTTTTTTTCAATAATATTATTTACAAAGAATATGGTAGTCCCAAAAAAAACAAATTTTTGATTTGAATAAAATAAAGTTTATAAAAATAATTATCATCTAATAAAAATAAATTGAATAAAATGATTGACACTCTTATTTTGTATTATTTCCTTTGCATATAAGTAGATAGAGATAAAGTTTTAATCTTCTTGAGTATATTCTTGAAATGTAACTAAACATTAACTAGATGAGGATGACTAAATGTAAAAAAAAAGTACTTTCTTGAAAATACAATACATTGTTAAACACATCGTTAAAAATATATAGAAGAATATATATATATATATTCAAAACTGACACCGTTTTAAAACTATAGGAGTTGAATTATGTTCAAATATTTCTGATTTTTCAAATAATGTCTGATTATCTTCTTCATCACTATCTTGAGGCCAAATATATAATGATGGTGAACATGGTGGTGTTGGTGGATCAAAACGAAGGCCAATATAAGGTTCATCCCATTTTCTTGCTGAATATTTTGATTTTGGTATTGTTTTCAATATTGTTGATAATGATGATGGTTTAGATCTGTTAGATGAATTTTGATCTGTTAATATTGGATGTTTTCGTTTTGATGCTGATGGTGTTCTTACTAGTCTTTTGTCTAATGATTTTGATCTTGATCTTCGTCTTCTTAATGAACGTTTCTTAAGTTTTGTTTTTTCTTCTGGTAATAAAAGTTTTAAAACTTTTGTTGTTATTGGTTCAATCGGTTTTTGTGCATCAGCAATTTCTTCAATAATTTGACTTATACTTTTAAAATTTAATGGTGATGATGATGATGATGACGATGATGATAATAAAGATTTTTCTCGAAGATTTTTTTCATTATCTTTATCTGCTGATGCTAATGGAATAGTTAATGTTGATTTTGATAGAATTGTAAAAGAATTTATTTGAGTTGATGATGGAATTAATGATGATCCAACAAATTCTATAGAAGAAACTTGATTTGTTAATGTACTAATATCATCTTTTTGTTTTGAGAATATTTGTTTATTAACTGTAGCGGTTGTGGATATTTTAGATAGACTACAATTACTTGGTACAGTTGATGATATTTCATCACTAGTTTGATATCCATTATTAGGAAATGGTGGATCACGAAGAACAACAAAATGTGTTTGACCAGATATTGATTTTTTACATTTTGGACTATTTAAATCAGTATCAGGATCATTCGCTTCTTGTCTATTAAAAAATTCATTTTTAGATAGAAAGAGAAAAGTTTTAGTTACCGTCGTCTTTGTGCATGTGTTGATGCCCAATATCTTTGCCAAGAAGTTGATGTATTTGTTGAACTTCTTGTGAAACTATTTGATGGACGAAGAGGTTCTGATTTAATTGTAATATATTTTGAAAGTGTATTGAATACATAAGAACTTTGTATATCACCATTAGAGAATGATGGTTGAGATGTAACATTTGTTCCTCCACATCCTGTTGTTATATCTTTACTTGCATTGCGTTGTTGTTTAGATTTTAATGGTCCATTGACGCGAACTGTTGTTGTATACTGTCGAGATAATTGTTGGTACATAATTTTTCGATGTACACTATATGGTAAATTTGAAGCATCCAGTAAACGAGATGAATTATCAGAACAATGATCAATCCATCGTTTTGTATGAATATTTTTTAGATGATTTGTTTTAGAGAAACTATAATCCCTTGAAAGAAAAATTGGTAAATTGAATTGTTGAGAAGTTAATTTATTTCGTAGATTTTGATTATTTGAAAGAAAATGATTCGAAACAGATGGATGAAACTTTACAATGTCTACCATCGTTTTGTACATAAGAAAAAAAACTAAATCATGACAAATAAATCTTTTACGATGTTGCTTTATCGTCGTGTGTATAAGAAGTGGCTTTTACATCGGTTACTTTATTTTTTCTAACGTTCTAGGGATTCAAACAACATAACTGTTTGCATTAATGTTGTCAGGTAGATACCGATTGAAATCTTAAGATTGAGTAAATATATGCTATAAACATAATACTCAAGTTGTTATCTTTGATGTTTGAATGCGTTTTTTCTCTGTTGTACAGTAGTGTTTGTCAAATAATATGTCTAGAATTTATTTTCTTTTTTCTTTTATACCCAGATCGAGACAAACGGGCGAACGTATGAAAACGCCTTTCAAACACGTTCGATAGCGTTCGTCCGTTCAGAATACGTTCGCATCACCGTTTTTAATGGCAAGTGTACACAACATAAGCAAAATATACAAACATTTGCAGCTTTGAAAATACACGCTGCTGTACACTTGTCTTAAAAAACAGAGTGTATATTGTACACTTTGTAAGTGAGATTTTAAATGTATTTTTAGCTCAAAAATTATATTTAAACGATGATCCGATTCTGGTCTATTTTTTATTTTTTCTATTCATTGACTGACATCCCTTCTCTTTATAATTTCTTTTCTTTTCAGATTTATATAAAGTCGTTTCTGATACTAATGTGATAGCTGCAAAGAAAAAATCAAAAATTGCAATATTCAACTTAGTTTTCTTCAAATCATACCGGTTTTCATGATGATGAAGAGGACCATGACAGTTTTGATAAGTTTGCTGGTTATTTAGAATTTTGAAAAATAATAAATCAAGGTTCTTATGCTGATGTGCTTTCCTAATGTTATACTTTCGTGTAGTGAATCGTCCTAAATGAATCACACACAGATTGCTTTTTCCTTGCTTTCTATTTACGTTTCTATTATTATTCTCTATTTTTTACTGGATAAAACAGATATGAAGACGTTTTTTCCCTTTTTTTATAATATGCAACGTAAACACCGTACATTTTGTACACTTTGCTTATGAAAACAAGTGTAAATGTACATTTTGCTCATTTAAAACAACGTTTGAGGTTTTTCTCGGAAAAAAACTAATAAAGTTTTTTATCCAATATTTGAAGTTTATCAATAATATATTATTTATATTTTTAGATAAATTTATTTATTTTTTCTGATTTCTCATCGTGGAAACAAATATTTTAATGTATGATAGGAATCAATTCAATACCACGTCTACATCTTAAAATAATCGTTTCATCACCTATCGTACATTAATTTCTGATTTTCTTCTAATATTTATTAAAATTCTTTGGTTTTTTTTTATGATTAGAGCGACAATTCAAAAAGGATAAAATGCAACATATAGAAGAAAAATATCACTGAAGTTTAATTTATTAGTTCAAGAACTTTTTTTTCTTCAAATTCATGTGAGTTTTTTTAATGTTTTGTTGAGATCGTAGTGATAATGAAGAATCATAGCTTCTATAGGTAACATTTAAAAACAAATTCGATCAGGTCAAATTCAAAGAATATTTTTTCGGGTGTATTTTTTGATTGTAAAAATGTATTAAGTGAAAATTATTAAGTTTTTGTTATTTTTTGAACTTCTTTCTTCCTAATCTTTTCTCATCAATTATGAATGCGAAACTATGAAAATTGTTTCGATATTGTTTCATTGAGAACTTTGTGTCATTCTTTTTTTTTTTTTGTTTTTCCTTTCTTTGTTTGTTTATATTACTATTTCTATTCTGTCGTGCTAGCGAAAATTCTTCGCGACCAAACTATATTGTTTAACTGAGCACTACTGTTTAATTTATTGGGTAAATAAACAGAAAGCATTGAAAATCGTGATTAAAAAAACTGATTGATATAGCAAATGAGTCAATAAAATGAGCGTTCGCGACCACAACGAAAGTCATGGCGAACGTATTCGGAACGGTTAGAAAACGCGTTTGGAACGGGCGAATACGTTCCGATCGTCTCGTTCGGAACGTGATCGTTCGTTTTGGCCTGGGTAATTTTTATTAAAAGACACTTATACCGATGCATTTTAATAACACAAGCGACAAATTTTTATTCAAAAAGAAAAGAAAATACATTAAATAACTAGATTTAATTGATCGAATATTTGTTTTATGTTTACATATTCATCAGATGTTGGTTGAATAAGATTTGTTTGATGATTAGAACCACGTTGTCTTGATCGACGATTAGAAAACCAAACACGAACTTGTTCAAGATCAATACCAAGATGTTCCGCAATAAGATGACGTTGTTGTAATGATGGATATGGCAGTTGCATAAATATTCGATGAAGAGTAAATAATTGAACAGGTGTGAACCGATGACGATTAGATATAACCAATTTTGTTGTTGAAACCTAAATCAAATTCAATAAATGTTGAGATCTAATTGAATATATAGTAATCTCACCTCTGACGATGATGAAATGTTGATAGCAGGTGGTGGTGGCACAACAAGAAAAGGATCGTAAAAAAAAATCGATGATGGTAGTGGAGGTGGTGGTTCAACTGTTGATGAAAGAAAATGAAGAATAAACGGATCGATGATACGTGGTGATGGTTCATATGACCAATTCATGTTTGAATATAGTTTCATTTTGATATTTCCTTCTTTTTTATACTGTTCTTACATTTTTCTCAATTGATATCATTTTGGGAATGATACATATCAATTATCCATCCGATGTGTTCCTTATCAACATCGTCCGTTAATTGATGTGATTATTCTGTTATTGGGATATGTAACCAATTAATACAATAGATAAATTTGAATCATCATGGCGCTTCATATTTTCATTTTTCTTTGTTTAAATATTAGAAATTAAATGTTAATAAGACAACCTATTTTATCTACTCGAAAAATTCATTTATTACCTACTATTAATTCAGCATTACCATTATTTGTTGCTATTTTGATTCTATGTAGTGCAACATTTGTTCTTGGGTTGGTTATTACGATATTTTTTTTTTGTTTTATATTTAATTATTTGAATAGATTTATTTGCTTTTGTATTCGTTTTGTTTTATGTAAACGTATTGATCGATATACTGAAAACTATCAAAGAAATTTATTTAAACAACAAATACATGAATTAGATTTGGATCCAAGCACATATAGAATTGTTCATTGATTTTATTCGAAAGTTATGTCAATTGTTATCAAACATTGTGTATCAAAAACAAGTGTGTTCTGATCTAACAATTGTTTAACACAATGTTTTTTTAATAGTTGTCTTAAACTAATATTTTTGTTATTCTTCATGCCATAAAAAAAAAACAATTTTTGTAGAATTAAGATTCAAAACTCGTACACGTGCTATACAAATAGTTGTTCGATGTAAAGAAAGGAGAAATGGAAAAATGAAAATAGAGAATAAAGTTATTTGTACAGTTAATAAATGATACCAAGAGAAAAGAATCATTCCATAACATCTGATAAGAGACACCTCTGCAAGTATCAAATCGCTTTTCAATCGAGTCAATGTTCATTTGATGAGTATGAATGAGTAATAGAAAAGTCTAGAACAGTTTTGTCTTCCAAATCTTTGTTCTGGAGATATTAAAATTTTTGTTGAGTTTTTCAATAAAAAGTTATAGCTACCCTTAGATCACGTAGAAAATTGGCTTTCGACTTCAAAATTTCTACGAACAAATTTCTCAATGAGATTAGTTCATTAAGCAAGTTGTAACTTCTCTAGCATCTCTTATCTTGAGCTATTCACAATTCGAAATTCTCTTATGTGTAAAAGCAAATTTCTTTCATATGTTTATATCTTTAGAGAGGAAATACTAGAAAACCTAAAGCTTGCATAATCAACTAATCTCATTAAGAACTTTGTTCGTGCAAAATTTGAAGATGAAATTCTGAAGTCAATTTTACACGTGATTTGAAGAAGACTACAGCTTTTTATTAAGAAACAAATTAAAGTTTTGATATCTCAAGAACGCAGATCCTAAAAACTAAACCACTTTAGACTGTTCTATTGCTCACTGGGACTCATTAAATGAATGTCGTTTGGATCGAAAAGCGATTTGACGCCTGGAAATGTTCGCACGTCAGTGAAGCTTTAAACATTTTTTGACAAGTTAATCAGAATCGAATCATATGATGAAGTAAATCAATAGGCATTCGTACGTATTTTTTTATTAACAGATTATAGAAAAAATAACAATTTTAGTAGAGATAACGAAGTAACGTTCAATTTTTATTTAAATATATAAGCATGAACAGCGAATGGTAATTTATCTTGGTGTTGCGGCATTACCGACTCCATCAAGAAAAGAAAAGAGTGATTGGGATGCTGGTGGAATAACAGCTGCTCCCATTGTATCTCGATTTGTCATGCCTGGTTTTTGATTTTTACGTTCTTGTATTGCTGCATTAAGATCTTCGATTTCATCAACTTTTATATCAATTTCTAAAATAACAAACTATTCAAATTCATTCACAATTATCAATAAATCTTACTTGTCAAAGGTCGACGAAGCATTATCAACTAATCTTTGAAGAAAAAAAAGAATATCTACAAAAACAAAACAAAGAAAAATGTTAAAAAACATATACAAAAAAAAAATTTTAATTATTTTTTATTTAATAAAGACATATACAATCGTTTTTCAATTTCAATTGGATCTGTTGTAGGTTTCGGCAATGATGATGCAAGTTCACCAATTAACATGATAGGTTGCTAAAAGAAAAATCATTGTATTATTAAAAAGAATATAAGAAATGATTCATACCCATCGTATTTGATGTTCATTAAGACGTTTATGAAATGCATTTTGTCGCATTTTATGTAAAGCTGATGAATAATATAATGCTTCATGATCAATTTTCGTAGGTTCTCTAACATAGAATAAAATAAATCATTTATCTTTCTATACAAGAAAAAACCAAAACTTCAATTCTACTTCGGAAAATCTTGTTCAATTTTTTCACGTAGATACTAAAAAAAGAAGATCAGTTGTTGTCGAATAAAAAACAATGTGTTTCCTATTTAAAATATTTACTTGAAAATGATTATTCACTGCATTAGCTTCATCTAAACGACTAATCCATTTTGATGGTACAAGTACTTCATCTGTACGTGAATAAAAATCATACCATTCATGAGGCCTATTAAAAATAACATTATCAATATTATACTCTTTCTTTTTGTTGATATTAATTAACAATTAAACCTGTCATTATTATCAACGGATTGTCGTCGATTTTTCTCTAATCTTCTTATACATGTGTCAATAAATCGTTGTTCATTCTTGTTTTTCTAAATTCAATAAAATCTTTCTTCTTGTTTCTCTAAATTAAAATATTAATTCACCATCTGTCGTTTCGACATCTATTTAATCTACAAATAATAATAATAAAACAATGGTAAAAAAAAAAGGTTTTCTCTTTTCTAACATGAATTTCTTCAGTGATAGAACTATATAACTGAAACACACACACACACATGGAACTGAGTGAGAAAAATCAAACTAACGAAGAATTATTTATTGAGAAGGCCTTAATGTTTCTTTTTTATTATCAAGTTCACGTTTAGCTGTTTTGATTAATTCATTACGTGTATTTGCTTCTGTTGCATCATAGTTTTCTCGTACTGTCCATCGCCACCATGCAGCACGCGTACGATCCCAAACAGCACCAAATGAATCAAATGCTGGTCGAACATCTAAGATTGTAAAAGTTAATGTATCATGATCAACGTGTTCTGAATCATAATAATCAATAATATCTATTAACAAAAACCTGCCATTTTAAATTTAGAAACTAAAAAAATAAAGAACTTACATCTCACACGTTTTCCACATCGGTCAACAATCCAATCATGTCGATCAAATGGTAGTTTATAACCTAACCAATTTCGAATTCGAGCACGAGGTGAATAATCTTTAGCTTTTCCACCAAATGATTGAAGACGAGGATTCATACATTCATTTGCATGTAATGCTTCCCATTTTAATACTTCTAACCAAGCAAGTTCATTATTAATATTGTGCATTCGAACAATATTTTCCATATCAGCTGGTGCTAATGCATCATCTTGCCAACGCCAACCTTTACGTAACATTGCATTCCAAAACATTTGTGGAGATGGATAAACCTAAATGAAATTTTCATTTTTTTTTCAAAACTAATTAGAAATCAAACAAAATAAAAGAAACGTCTTACCCAATTTTCCTCTTTTTCAGCTACTTTTGGGATACTTGAAGTAATACGTGTTGTTGATAATGGAAATGGTTGATCAGGTGCTGGCATTTGATTAGCTGGTGGCATCATATTTAATGGATTAACATCACTATTACCCACTGAACCTGACATAGGACATTCACTGACATAAGGTGTTTTTTGACTTGATTGTTGTTGAAAATGAGGACATTGATCTACTGAACCTTTAGCTGTTGAATGTTGAGTATCAGTTGGTGGTTTAATATTATCATTCAATCCTTGATTAGAAGTAACGGATGAAGTTTGGGCACCCATTTTGATGAGATAAATTATGTAGCTAAATTTTCTTTAAGAATGAATGAATGTCTTGATTATTAACTTGTCTTGTTGCCATTTGATTGGTCATAAATTGGAACCAGTTACATATGTTTTTTCCTTTGAAAGAAAAGAAAACCTCCTTATTACTATAGTTTCATATTTTGATAATGGCGAATAATATTCTACTGAAAGTTGTTCAATTATTTGAATAAAAAAGAAAACCATGAAAAAACAACATGATCAACAATTAGTACGAATAAAAACTCTGGTCGATTCGAATGATGATGATGATGATGATATGACATCAACATCATCGATTAGTATTGATAATGAAAGTGATCATTCATCAAAAATAACAAATTTAATGCGTGAAAATGAACGAAAAATTCGAAGTTTAAGTGAAAGTTATATGAATAGATTTCTTTTAATTGGTCAACAATTACAAGCATTACCAGAAACATCAAATATTCTTGCAATACCATCAACAATGAGAAGTATTGTTCAAAGAAAATCATCAAGAATAGAACTTGAAACTATGTCATCATCACCATCATTAAATTTATTTTTTGAAACACTTAAACAATTAATTATAAAAGAAGAAAAAAAACGAGGTTTGAAAATTTACTTTTTAAAATTGTTTATTTTTTCTTATATTAAAGAAAAATCTTATTTACCACCGAATGATGAGAATACATCATCGGATTCATATACACGTCTTTCTATTGGAATTACACAATGTTTACGTGATTATGAAGGTGAAATAAATCATGCTAAACGAAGAATTAATGATGTAAGATTCTTTTCTTTGCTATTTGTTTTTTTGGAATATTTCGTTATGAATTTCATCAAATTGATTTAGTTAAATGAACAACAAGAGCATATTTTAAATGAAAATAAACACGTTGTTTCACAATTAACTGAAGCATTTGAAAAAAAGTAATTATTTTGATATATATGTTCTATGCAAAACAAAAAAAAAATAGATTTATTTCTTAAGTACAATATCTCTTCGACAAACTTATGAAAAACGTTTAGCTAAACAACGTGAAGAATCATTAAAAATTGGTCATTCATTAGATAATTATAAAGTTGAAATATTAACATTAAGGTAAATTATTCGTTTATTTTTTGTTTTCTATTTTAAACAATATTTCATTTTTAGGGAAGCCTATGAAAAAAAACTTCGAGTAAAAGATGAATTAATTCATGAACTCAATGAACGATTGGCTAGAAATGAAACTGAACAAGCAGCAAGTCAACATGCACTTCATCTAAAAGTAAATTGAAAAATATTTTTATTTTACATTTCACACATTGATCTCAAGTATATGAAGAAAAAAATTTCATATTCCAGTCAAACACAAAACTTCATGCTAGATCATGTATGGCTCTAATCCTTGTAAACACTCACATATAATATTCCTGCCTATTCATGTGAGATTATCTAATAGTTATTGAACCATCATAATATCCTTCAGATTTGATTGTACTTCTAATGTAAGTAGACAGTCGAATAGTGAAGAAGTTCGTCTTATAAAACAGCCCATGCTCGTATTTTATCTCTAGAGAAGACTACTATGTATTCATGCGTGGTTACTATATAGACTTCATTTTCCAGTTATTCTAGAATTTTGTTGCAAGCTATAATAAAATGCATGTATATGCAGTTACATGCGTTTTTTTTAACTTTCGCGTTCGACTGGATAGTTGACGATGCATTTCAAGGTTTTGTTTCTGTATTAGTTATATATAAGCAGTAGTCATTGATAGAAAACGTCTGATTATCATTATAATCATCTCGATGTAGTCAGTTGCTCGATTTTTTTTTCATTTTGTAATTTTTGGCGACACAGAATACTATCAGAAATCCGAATCTGTCGAACTTCTCCTGGGACCAGCACAAAAATATAAAACGAATGATCACCTGTATATTAACATTAGCAGAAATTAAATATAAAGAGCTTTCCTTATTGATTCAAAAACTTATTTCCTTCATCAATTTAGTGTGTTTCTCACAAAGATGTTGTTTCAATCTATGGGCATACCTCTAACTCTGTTATAAATATTTCGGACGTTCGAATTTAATGAGTTTCTCTGAAAAAATAAGAAAGTTAAGAAAAACTTTCGATATATCTTAAAGTGCATATGTTGTTTCAAAAGATTGGTCCGAAACAAATGAATTCGCATATAGATTTCTGTTCGAATTAATTGATCGAAACTTTTCAATACTGTCTTTTTCTATGGATTCATGAAATTAGGATTCTCATTCAATTTCATATATATATATATATCCATTTATCATTTAGATTGAACATTTTCAACAAAGTTTCGAAACATTACAAGCACGTAATAAACAAATAGAACAAAATAATCAAATTAAAATGAAAGAAAATCATGATCTTCTTACACAAACATCAAATTTACAAGTAAACATCAAATTATTTTATTTTATTAGAGAACATATTTCTTTCTAGCTTCAAATTCAACGTTTACAACAAACAATAACAACTAAAGCAAATGAATGTATAGAATTATCTCAAAAATTAGCATCAACATTACCTAAATTAGCTGAATGTGAACATTTTGGATCTGAACTACAACAATGGTTTTCATTAATTTCACCTGAAAATAATTCATCAAATGTAAGAATCACAAAACGATTCGTTTTTTTTTTTCAACTCTTTTCTTTTATTTCTAGTTAACACTTGATGAAATGTCAACGATTGTCTCATCAAAAATTTCTCATTTTGAAAATTTCAAAAAACAACTTGATTCAATTCATGAAGATTTAGATCATGCATATATTTTAGAAGATAATCATTTATCTGATCGTATTCGTCATCTTATTAATCATAACAAACAATATGAAACTGCTCATAATGATATAAGTAATAAATATCAAGCATTATTACTTCAAACAAATATGTTAACTGGTATAATAAAACAACATAGTACAGAAGTAGCTAATCATAAAACAAATGAAGAACAATTAAAAGATTTTAATGAACAGCTTTTAAATGAAAGTCAAAAAATAAAAATTGAAATACAAGATTATCGTTCAAAATTACTTCAAATAACAAATACAAATAATCAATTAGAACATGAATGTAGTTTAAATAAACAACATTCAAGAGATTTACAAGTTAAATATGAAACATTAAAAGCTGAAAACCAAATGTTAGCAAATGTAAAAAAGAAAATTCTTTTTTTTTTACTTCTTGAAATTATTTGATTTTATTTTTTTGAAAGGAATTACAAACAAAACGTGAAGCAATGAAACGTTATGAACAAGAATTACAATCAATGAAACAATTATTTGAAATGACAGTAAAAGAAAAACAAATACAAAGTGATCAATTAAAACATGAAAGACAATGTAAAAAAATTTGTTTTCTAATTTATTAATAAATAATTCTTTTTTTTCTTTTGGAAGTATTTCAAACTGAAAATGATACACTAAAACAAATAGTTATTCGTGATGGATATGATAAAAAAACAATCAATCAATTACAATTTAATTTAAACACGTTACAACGTCAAAATAATAAATCACAAAAAGTAAAATTTATTTTTTGTAATTTTATTTCTATGAATTTGTTTTTTTTTTTGAGGACAAAGGAACAATTAATGATGAATCGCATCGTATATCAAAGAGTTATTCGCATGAAAGTATTCGTTTTTTTCCATTAAATGAACAGGATGTAAAATCTATAGATTTGTTATAATTAAAAAAAAAACTTAATTTTTTCGATTCTTTAGGAAGATGAAACAATAGAAAATGTAATAACTCGTCGAGCAACATCAACACCAACACCAAAAGAAAATGAAAATCAACAACAGTTAAATATTCAATCGTTAGGAGTAACTAAACAAATTAATCAAGTATTAAATGATATGAAAAATTTATTAACACATGGACGTGAAGTCGTTATTAAACATGAAGAAGATATGATTCCAGAACGAGATTTTAAAGTACAAGAAACAAGTGAATCACGACGTTCAAGAAAAGAACGAACAACCGTTGTAGATATTAAACAGCATTAGATCAGATTACGATATTCTTTTGTGAAAAGTTCACTCTATTTAATATTATTAGCACGTTTTGATAGACCTTCTTTGTTTATGAACAAAAATTCCTAGTAGACTATGATATGGTTGTATTTGAAAAATATTAAATAAAGTGAAAATATCTCTTATGATCTTTATTAAAGATCTGAATCTTAACTTTTTATTTTAATTATTATTATATTTGTTTTTTTCGACTTGTTCAAAACGGTAAGTATATACTTTATTTGATTAATGATAACTGAAAACAAAATTATTGCAAGTTACGTTTCAAGTTATGTTGAATATAGTTTTTTTTGTAGTAGTTTCTGTTTTTTCTTGATTTCAATACTTATTCAAGCACGCGATTAATTATATAAGAATATTTTCTACCTCGATAGATGAATTCCACTCAGTTTCGCTTTTTTTTCACAATTTTCTTCCATCAATCATTTTCTCAGAATATGTTTAAATTCATCTTGATGAAATTAAGTTGTTTCCTATTGCAATCTGAAATACTATATATTTATATCGGTATCTATTTTACTAAGTTTTTCTAAAATGTATTTCTGTAGTTTCATTCATATTATTATGTTTTTCTTTTGTTCAGATAGACAGCGACACATATTCTTATTTTTGGGCAATAAATGTCAACAATAATACAGACTAGAAATCTTCATTTACTTAATAATTCTCATTTTATAACTTTACTATTCCCTTATACAGAGAACGTACAATGAGAAAATAATATACTTATAGTAATCTTAATTTCAAGCATAAATTGAAAAAGGTCGATTAGAAGACCAAAAGTAAATGTTATCATTACTTAAAAATATCTAATCATCTACGATCTCAACAGAAAGAATAAGCATATCAACGTGGTACTGGAGAATTAATGACAAAACTAGATGTAATTTATGTTTCACAGTATTACATACAGATCAGTTTTGTTGCATGCTGATAAAGAATTGTTGATGCAAAGAAAATTTTACGATAGTAAAACATCAATTGTATACAAACGAAGTTTTCTTCATACATACAAAATCAAAAAAAATAAAACACCGAAATTTATAGCTAATAGGAATGCATTCAAGCGCTTTCTAATGGATACAAATAAAAGTTATACATGATTTAATATACACATCAGTCTCATTCATAGCAGCTATGAAAAATGAATATGATCGAAGCTCTTGTTTTAGGGAAACCAATATAAAAAAATCAATATATGGCACTTTCAGAATATAATGTGGTAGATATTGAATGTAGTTGATAGTATATCTTATCATGAGTTCAAATGTATTATATTGACTTGTTCATTTGAGCAGGTTTCGCGAAAATGGAAGCAGTATAGGAAATGTACACCTTCCCATTAATTGAAAATCATTCATTGGTAGTCAGCAAAGTCGATAAATTTTTTAGAATTTTTAAAGTATTCCATTGAGATATTTTTGCATATATCTCCCAGGAGTGTCCCGAGTGGAGATAGAGAGTCGGGGGAATGATCCTTCACGAATAATTGGAAACTGTCATTGAAACGTCGATGAACAACATAGAATTACATGGCAAGTTGAAGACATCAGCTATTTTTTTACTCGACATCCACGCTCAAATGATGATTTTTGCTAGAAAATTCTGAAGAGATGTTAAAATTTTTCGGTTCACGAAAAAGTAACCACGTGAGCGTACTCGACCTAAAAATATGTGATTTGTCTAGTTTTATGGCAATTTTACTGCTGTCTTCTTTCTGAAGAGCGTCATTTTTGAAAAGTTATCCACTAGCATGACTGTCTTTGGCGGCGAGATTGCTAAGATCTATTGCAACACTTTTTCTTTTCGAAAAACATAAGGAAAAGAAGAGTTTTTCATGAGTCTGAAAAAAAGGATTCGTTTCGCAAAAAATAACAATTGTGTATCCGCAGTTTGGTTAGAAAAACTTCCTACTTTAGTCAATTTTTCCTTTGAAATAGCCTAATTTAGAATAATCATCGCCAGTGTGGTCGCCTTCGACAACAAAAGTATTGAGAATGTTTTTTACATTGGATACGGGTTCTCTTCGTAAAAATTTGCCAGAGAAAGTCGAATTTTTTAAGAATGTTGCAACAAATTTTCGCTTTGCGAAAAATTGCTACATTTTAGTTTACAAAAGAAAGATTAATATCAAATCTGATGCAAAAAGAATTTTCCATCCCACAATCTTGACTGTCTCGGGATCCTCCTCACACTCTCCCTCCTCAATCCTAGAGCTACAGAAATCATTATTTGAATACGGCTTCAACAAATTATTTTGAAAAAAAAATCTTCAATAGAATAGGTGCCTTAAATTTTTGTCCCTCACTTTCTCCAATAAACTTGATGAGAATTTTAAATCTATATTGTTAGTTTGTGTCGATAACCGATATTAGATTACAAAAAACCACGATCTATTCTCTAGTTTATAATATGGTAAATATAAAAAAATATTTTTGATTTCTAACTCTTTTCATTTGATAAACATTTGATAAAACTCTTGTTGATTAATATTCAGTTAAAGTACTATCATTATGTTTACTTTTTACTATGACTTACACTTTGAAGACAAGCATGACAACCGCTAAACTACATGACTCGATGATCTTTCTCATTTCAAATTGAATTTTGAAAAAAAAAATATCTCTTTTTTCAGAATAGCAAGGATTTAGTAGCTCTAAAAACAAGCGATGCGTTTCTTAAAATATCATGGACGAAACATCTTACATCTAAATAAACCAAACAACGAAACATCTTCATCATAATCTAAGCATCCTCATCTTCTCATCCTTAACCTTATCTTCATAACTTGTCCATATACTCTAGAATGTAAATGATATATTGTACCTTATATACCTTCTATTATTATAGGATGCGGGTTTTGCAGATCTGTAGAATTTATGTAATATCATATCAATTCTAAAGACTCATATTTCAATTCGGAATTGATTCCCCTTTTATTTGTTTTAAACTCAGATTGAAATAAAATAGGTCATTATATGAAACACATGCATACCATAAGAAACTCTAAAAGTAAATTCATTCTTTATATTGTTATAAAATAAAGGATAAAATAAAGTTGCAGGGTGTGGCTGTGAGTGTAGGTGTGAGGGTGTGACTGTGGTTGTAGTTTCGACTATGGGTGTGTGCGAAGAGAAGATCGACACCTAAACTCACATCTAGCCTCACCTCACACTCATACCTGCGTCGCACCTATCCACAACCACTCCCACACATACATCTATACTTACCTCATACTCCACCTATCACCTTTAACACTGCTTTTCGACGGGCATCAGAACAGTATCACATGGATAGTTTTGTTCTCAGAAAGACTAGACATAACAAACAGAATGACTGTCGCTGGTAAAGCAGACAAGACGCGAGCTGTGGACTACAAATGATTTCGGACTATTATCGGAATTTTAAAAGGAGGCCATCGGGTATGATGCTTATAACTTTTTAACGAAGATAGCTAGAGCCTTGTGGTTTTCATCATTCGAAAGAGAAGACAAGGGAACGCCTTTCTTTCCAATATTGTATAAGACGAAATCATTTTAAAATCAGTCATATCTGCAAAACATTACAAAAAAAGCGTGAAAACAATCTGTCATTCCGATGAAATTTTGGTTTTAACATCTGATCTAGATACAGGGACTTCAGATCTATAGTTCAAGATATAATTCAAATGATTATTTTTCCACCTCCTAATGTTAAACAAATAAAATCGTCTATTCAATCGCACGAAAACTATGGAATTATTTTAACTTTTAAGCATAATTTCTCACTTTTTGTCAAAAATTTTGCCTAAATGACAGATCGGTTTTTATATATTTTTTCGATGTTTTGTAGAAATGTCTGATTTTAAAATGATTTCGTCTTATACAATATTGGAGAAAAGGCGTTCCCTGTCTCCTCTTTCGATTAATGAAAATCGCAGAGTTCTAGCTATCTTTGTTAAAAAGTTATAAGCATTTTGCCTGATGGCCTTCTTTTAAAATTTTGATAACAGTAACAACTGCTCCATTGAATATTTTATTATCACCATCATTTTCGGTAGCATCAGTTATAACCATTATATCAGCAGTACACCCAATAGCTTCATCATTTAATCATGGACTATTAAAATCAATCGACGAACATACAAGATATTTCCTTAATTTATTAAAACAATAGTGTGTAGATCATAAGCATGACTTTCTGCTTGACATATTTGATTTAGGACGAAGGAAAAGATTTTTTTAAATGTTGTATATAATACAAAAAATGAGCTTGAAGTCAGTGTAAAATGTAATTGAAGCTGAATAATAATATTAGTAATAAAAAATGAAAACAAACAGCTCTCTAACTTTCAAAAACATTGGCGTGTGACAATTTGTCAAGGGGGAAACGACTGACTTTTGACTTTTTTGACTTAATTGACTTAAAAATGACTTTGATGACTTTAAAAGTCATGAAAGTCATTTATCTTAAAACCAATATATCTTGCTATATTCGAATGTTACTTTCAATATTGGCACCCTTCAGCTTTATAAACAGCGAACACAATCATAATTTCAATCTCTGCTCTCATCGCTCTCATAATCTGTTGAAAACGTAGGTGAAGTTAAATCCAAATTCGACTATTTACGGGTAGGATTTATTCAGAAACTTGTTCCAATGTTATTATTCTTATCTCAAGTACAATTCGATGATCTCTATCCAATCGTATAATTAGGTTTTCCATAACTTAAAGCATGCCTCAGAAAACATCACAATCTTGAAACTTTACTATTAGGACCTTGGAATTTATAAACTAACAACTATTCATGTGATCAATTTTATTAAGAAAATGATGTAATTTACGACTTAGTTTGCTAAAAATTAAGAAAAATTTAACAAAAGCTTTGTTTTCCTGTTCGTGGTTCCAGTCTGGTTCCAGTAACTTTTTATGTTTTGGTCTTGACAACTCTTTAATTTTTTGATCTCGTTTATCTCTCGTCATCACGAATGAT